AAAAAAAAAAAAAAAAAAAAACAGTGTTGTTTGCCCAGTATCAGGGATGACAGGCCCAAACCTGGCGAGGCCAAGCGGACCACCAGGGATGGAACCTGCGCTCCAGCTTGCCCTAAACATGACGGACTGAGGGAGGGGACCGGGCCACTTGCTTCTCCTCCTTGATGGACTGGATCCGTTCAATGAGAATCTCTTTTTCCCGGTCCTCATCGCCACCGGCTGCCTCCTCCTCCAGCAGCACCTCCAGCTCCTCCCCCTGGCTGTCCCGGGCCTTGGGGCTCTTGTTCTGAAACAAAGCAGCAAGGGGTCTGACTGACTCCTCTGAGTGGGCGAGGTTAGTGCCAGAGGTGTGAGCAGGTCCCAGGTTAGTTCTGATGTGGATGCGCTGGGCTCTTAGTGCGACTTCTCTAGGAATCCCACGGGACAGAGTGGTGGTCGTGTGGCCGATTAGTCGTCCTGAGCACAGAAGGTCAGCAGGCAAGGGGCCTCCCCAGCATGCACTTCTGGAAGGTTAGGACAGGCTCCGTCTATCCTACGAGGGGCCCGGGGCCCCAGGGAACTCCAGCATGCACCGCACCGGGAGACATGCACTGCGGGCCCACCGAACGCGTACATACCAGGACCCCCTCATAGGGAGACGAAAACCCCAGTTTGAGAGGCCATAGCTGGGAGAGAGATGAACACAGGGTGACCACATGGGCCAAGACAGACACAGGCATGAGCTGGGGATACATCCAATGACGAGTACCAAGACAGGGGGTCCCTGGTTCCCACAGGAGCCCAGAGCCCGTTCCCCACTAACGCACCCCTGCACTGTGGGGCTGATTCTTCTGCTCTGGGGACATTTCCCGGGGGCAGAGGGCCCAGGTCAGAAGGGACAAGGCTGGACTGATGACCTGAACCACCAGCAAGTGGGAAACTGGTCCCCCACCTGCCTCACCTAGAGGGATACAATTGGAGTGAGGCTGAGCGAGGACCATCGTCTTTTGTTCAAGGCAGTAAGTCTGCCCCTGCCTGCACGGCCCGGTGGCCCCAGCCAGGCTGGTTATGGCTGTGGCCAAGGGTGTGGTAGGAGTGGGCGGGGAACTGGAAAGGGAGGCCCCGCCCGGCTACCCGAGACTACATCCACTACCCAGTCCCATCCTCGGCATGGGAGGTCCCGCCCACCCAAGGCCCCCCTCCCACCAAGACCCCGCCCACCAACCTTCCCAGCAACAAAGCCACGCCAAAGGCCCTGCCCAGCACCAGACCCCGCCCACCAAAGAGGCCCCGCCCCCGCGATCACCGGTACTCACAGCATTTTGTCGCAGGAGCGAAAGCCTGCGGAAGGCGATGCTCTCTGCAGCCTCCAGTTGGCTGATCTCCTCCATCTTCACTTTGTATTTCCTCATCTGCTCCTTGATCAGCATCTCCACGCACCTACAGAGAAGGCCCACGGGAGGAAGTGACTCAGTTACCGCCCCGGGCACATTTGAGGTCCAGGAGTTGGTACCTGGGGGGCAGTGGCTGAGGCTCAGAGACCAAGCAGTGCCTGGGACACGGCTGTGAAGGCTCCCATGCTGTGTGACCTTTGGCAGCTCACTCCACCTCTCTGAGCCTGAGTCTCCTGTCTCTGCACGCCTCCTTGTTTGAAGGAGGGTCAGAGTGAACTGAAGCCCCTAGTCACCAGCAGGGTGGGGATTATCCTGCCTCCCAGAGAAGTCCAAGCTGCTGGGCAGTTTGTCCCAGGGGCAGCAGGCAGATGGCCCCAGGGGCTCCAGACATGTGCTCTGACCCACAGTATGCCCACTTGGTGGTCAAGGCCAGCCTGGTGGTGTCAGTATCAGAGGGTCTCAGCTCGGAGTGGTCAGTACCAGAGGGACTCAGCTCGGAGTGGTCAGTACCAGAGGGACTCAGCTCGGAGTGGTCAGTACCAGAGGG